CACAAATACACGTGCGCAATTATTTTCTCTTTTGCCATTAGCTGATTACCTTTAATTATCACATTTATGACTGCACAAATACATGTGTGCAATTATCTTTTGCCATCAGCTGATTACCTTTAATTATCACATTTATGTGAAATTATCTTTTGCCATCAGATTACCTTTAATTATCACATTTATTTTATGACTAAGATGGTGAAATACTAAAACGAAATCACCAGATTTAGCCTGTGATTCCCTGAGAATAGACGTGTTTCCTGTTCCACCTGTCAGACAGTTTCCTCCCAAAAAAAACTTGGTTTGTTTACACCTTATATTCTGTACCAAAATACACGGGGAAGAGAATCGATATTTTTAGCTTTGTAGCCAGACATGAGAGCCGATGGTCTACTTTTACCTCCCTTGGGAAGTTTGAGTCAGTGGGTCAAATCAAAACAAAGCTTTTCAAACACCAGAAACACAGCAGAAAACACTGAACCTCAGCAGTTGGTCAGGATTTTCTCAGTCTTTTCATTCACAACTGCTGGTTTTTCTCCGTGCCCTGAGGAAAACAGCGCTTCACAAAGTAAAGTCCAGAACCTGAAACACATCCGTAATTACGTCTTCCTTAAAGAGAGTATTTCAAGTTTAGAGTAACCTTCAGGAATACAGCAGTAGATTTGGTCGCCCCTGACTCTCCCACGGTACACAAACTCTCTCTCTCTCACCTCTTTGGTAACAGACTGTTTTATAATACAATCAATAAATATTTCCCCTGAACCTATTCATTACAGTTTAGTCTAAAATTATCTCATGTCTATGAATATTTGATCACAGCACGTGAGTTTTATGTAGCTGTGCTGACCCAGCACGTGGAAACAGATGCAGCCTCAGCTCAGAGGTCTCTGAGAAAAGAGTTTTGTCTCTCTCTCTCTCTTTCTCTCTCTCTCACACATACAAAGAACAAAAGACAGTGGGATACAAGTTGTATCTCTGTGTGTTGAGTGTGTGTGTGTGTGTGTGTGTGTGTGTGTGTGTGTGTGTTAGCAGCAGCCTAAATGGTTGAGTTCAGTGACCGTGCCGTGAATGAATAAGGGACGAGTGGGCAGGAAATGAGTTGTAGTGGAAATGTTACAGAATTTGCATTTTGGAAAAACACGTCTCTGCTTCTGCTGCTGCTGCTGTCCTAAAAACCTGGACCATAGTTGTGTTTTTATATGCACAGTTTTAGATTTTTTTCTTTTTCAGGATTTAATAATCTATATATGCTACAATCTTAGTGTTTCAATGGATGGCTGCCAAAAAAAACAACAGAAATCCCTCTGCCCAAAGTACTCGAGGTGAAGCTGAGTCACTGAGTGTCTCTTTGTTCTCTCAGGAGATGGACAGATTATTGTTTTGTTCATTTTAATCCATGCAAAACCACTTTGAGGCTAAAAAAAAAGAAAAACTGCAGGAAACAGCATTGAAAGAACACTAACAATAACATCATGGGTGGATGTCAATTCATGCATCTGACCACACCCACATCATAAAGTCATTTCATTCTTATAATTTCAGGATATTTTTTATAAAATGTAATTTATTACTAGATTTAAAAAATCCTCAGATACAAGGATAAACCTATAGTTTTACTCAGTGTTGACGACTGTGACCTCCGGCCGATCAGTTTTAGTGTTGACGACTGTGACCTCCGGCCGATGTACATCGTCACAACGACGCCATGTTGGCTGCTCCCTACTGAGAACTGAGGTCTCAGTTCTACTTTGACCACCTGAGCCAATTCACGTTGTATTACACAGTAATTTTAGCCTTTGTTCCGCGTTACGCAAGAAGATTTTGTCCAACTTCTTCATTCGACATTACTTACTTACTTGAAAATAAACTATTTTATGTCTAAATGCAGTCTACCAGAGCAGCCCATAGCAACGACAGACCACTTCCTGGGTCAGGCGGCATCTGACATGCGGAGCGATGTGTCAATCAAACTGCTGACTCGCAGCAATCACACAAACCTTGGCGTCTGAAATCGTGGAGCGCGCTGTTGTTTTGATACAGTGAAGGCGTCCATCTGTAGTTTGCTGAAAAAATAAATAAAAAAGAAGAAAACGCCACCTTTTGGCTGAGACCGGTGGGTGGAGATTCTGAACCGGTATTCTGCAAGTCGAGTAAAAACGGATTTTCTGTCGGGCTTGGTCGTGACTGTGATGGGAAGCGACGACATGCACGTGAGTTTCGCACAAGACGCACACAACAACAATCATTCAAAACTGTGCAGTGTTTTTTTTACGCAAAACAAATGGCACTGAGTTAAAATTACTGCCGTAGAAGTTACCAGGGTTTAGTTCTACAACGATGCAGAATATATATTCATACATGTGGTTGCTTTTCCGCTACCTATGTGTTTCATGTTCATGTGCTGTTGGCCTGCCACCTGCTGGTTTGTGATGCGAAATCTGTTTGTTGGCGCTGTGGTCATATACTATTTTTTTTATTTTCATGTTTTGATGTCACAGGTGGCGATATAATCCACAGGAGTTGTTGGTTTTACAGAGAACTGTTTACATTGAAACGGTTTGATTTGACATCAGGTCATATTTATTTTGTTGTGCCTCCTCTGCTTATTTTCATGGTAAATGTGGAAGAATGATAAATACATTACATTGCAAAATGCGTGTGCTTTATAGGTTTGTTATGGTGTTGTTATAGGTTATGTCTTGGATACTGTTTTTGTTGATTTGATGGGAGTAAGTCCCTCTTAAACCTGCTACTTGTCCTGCATTTTGTCTGTTTGGAGGTGGCCACTCTAATCAGGAACTATTAAGAGCTGATTGTATTATAGTCATTCATAATGAGGAACATCAAGCCAACATACTAAAGCTACAAATATACATATTGTATATACAGTTGCATAATGGATATTAATATTATTAACTTCACTGTTATTCTGACAGGCCTAGTCTTGGATAAGAAAAAAAAAACCTGTTTCTTCTTGCTCTACTAAACCCGGGCTAATCCGTCTTTTATTTTTCGCAACATGCTACGACAGCTGGCTGGATAAACGATGACAGCATCATCTCAGTGAGCTGGCATGGTCTTTTGGCCAGCGTTCAGTCAACGGTGACAGTTGTGCCATGAATGTCCTGGCAGCAGCCGCAGCTTCGCACAGCCAATTATCAGCTGTGTAATAAAAGCACCTCCAGTTTAGTTAACTGTAGTCTGGAGTCGAGAACGTTTAGTCAATTTGCTATTTTGTGTGTGTGTGTTACAAGCATAACACAGGGAATGTTGCTTTACCGCCTCCTGCTGTTTGCATTTTGTATTTGTTTTTACTTTAAGTTTTTGTCGATGCTGGAAATCAGTTTATTCCCCAGGTTTGCGTTATTTCATCACCTACATCCCATCTTTGTTTTGTATATGAGATAAAATTAAACTGTCAGCAGCCTGAGTCTGATGAAGAGGCCGTTGTTTCTCTCACTCTGAGGGAAAGACGTTTTTCTGTTGGCAGATTCACTCTCGCGCCCAGCATGGTCTCGTTCACAGTCTAGCCTGTGCTTTCACTGGAACAAAGACATGATTTGTCAAAGGGCTGCAGCGTTAGAGCCCGCTGTTTCTCAAACAGTTCACAGTTTTTTAACTGTACACTTTATGACACTCTGATCTGTAGATTCTTTAAACGACATTTTTCTGAGTGTTTCTCCTGTTAGGAACAACACTTGTATGTTAAACATTAATACATTTATTGGAAGTAATTGTCGCAAATATATATATGTGTATATATGTATATATATATGTATATAAATGTGTATATATACATGTATTAAAGCAATGCGCGGCGCATTTCTAAAAAATTATACCGATAACTTTATGCTTCAAAAGAATGATGCCTTTCTTTAATGAATTATAATATAAATAAGCATGTATGCTACATATTTGGGGGCAAAAATTAGTGCATCTATTAGTTGTTTTATTTTTAGAAAATTAATAATAGTATGATATAGTAATAGTATACAGTAATTATCAGACTATTGAGCACCTGAATATAAGCCACATCCAATAAATTTGAAAAAAAAAATTAATTGTACATATATAGGCCGCACTTCTCTATAAGCCACAGGTGTCCATGTTGTAGCATGACCGTTCCAACTTTTGTCACAGTAAAATACTATACCAATAAA